CTCATGCTCTCCTAATATTTTTTGAAACACTCCATTAGGTTTTCCCTTCAACCATTACAATTCACACTAGTGGCAGAAACATCATCTATGTTATAGTTGATGTCTTTATACTTGATGTACTTGAGACGGGTAAAGCAGATATTCTGCTTGTGGAAATATTAGGCTTTATTGCTGCATTCACCGTCTGATTTTCTGACTCATTGGCTGCGATTCTCTGTCTGCTTTGCCACCTCTTCCTTACATTCACTGTGTCTCAATACAGGAAATTTTTTATGATTCAAATGAATTTTTTTATCAAATGAATGTCATAAATTCATTCATAATGATATTAAGAATTATCTGTATGCTACCTCTGTATCAGGCTAAAAAAAGTATTCAAGAATTGAAAGACATTATTAAAAGGCCAAATATGAGTTATGGGAGTCCCAGAAGGTGCTGAAAGAGAAGCTGAGTTTGCAAATGTATTTCATGAAATGATCAAGGAAAATTTCCCTAATCTGGAGAAAGAATTGGGAAACAAGATCCAGGAGGGGCACAGAACTCCCAACAGGCTTGATCAAAAGCGATCTTCACCATGACACATGATCATCAAACTCTCTTCAGGTGAACATAAGGAAAAGATGCTGAAATGTGCATGTGAAAAACTTCAATTGACATACAAAGGAATGCCAATAAACTCACAGGAGATCTCTCACAGGAAACTCTACAGGCAAGATGAGAATGGAGTGACATATTTCAGATTCTAAAACAAAAAAATTGTTGGCCTAGGATAACATATCCAGCAAAGCTTTCTTCTGTCTTTGAAAATGAAATAAAATTCTTCCACAGTAAAGAAAAATTGCAAAAATTGCCTCTTTTAAACCTGCCCCACAAATGATACTTCAAGATGTTCCCTTGAAAGAGAAGAGGAATAGCACGAAACAAAACCAAAGGCAAATGGGAAGAAGATCCCAGTAAAATGACAATAGAAGACTAAATCAATGAACAACCCATTCCTAAAATGACAGGACCAAAGTACCACCCATACATATTAAACTCTGAATGTAAATGGCCTAAGCTCAGTCAAGCGTTATAGATTAGTAGACTGGATTAAAAAACAAAACCCATCTATTTATTGTCTAGAAGAGTCACATTTCATGAACAAATAATCAGCAGAAACTAGATTGTATGGGTTTTGTTGTTTCCTTTAGTTTCACCTCTTCAAGAAACTTTCTTCTGATTAAATCATTCAATGACTCATACATCAAATAGTAGCATCATTTTCTTCAAGAAGGCTCTTGATTTTCATTTCTTCAGCTACATGTCAGCCATTTAGTAGCATGTTGTTTAACTTCATGGTGTTGTTAATTTCTTTCATCTCCTGGATGTTGACACTGTTTTGTGGCTTTTCATGTAAGGGGATGTATGGTAGCTGTGTAATGGAGACTGTCATATCTAGTAACATGTCATTTAACCTCATGGCATTGTAAATTTCTATTTATCTTTCTAGTGTTGATTTTGTATTATGACTTTTCATTTGAGGAGATGTACAGTAGCTGTGAAATGGAGACTAACATATCCAGATGTGAGGATATAGTGTAGTATTCATTTCTGTTTCCAGACAAAGATGGACTTAAATGAAACTGTTTACAATATCTTGACAACAGTATGCTGGACTCTCTGCCATTGTCCATGCTTGCAATGATGGACATATGACTATGTATGAAGAACTATACTGTAGTAATGATATGGAGAAACTAGGTGGATGGGGAATTGAGGTTGGGATAAGGGAAATACCAGGAGCCTATGGAATTGTGTGATAAAATGATATTAATAATGATAAAATATAAAAAAACATGCAAGAGTGATGGCTAATCTCAGGATGAAATGGAAAAGGAGACAGAGGGAAATAGATAGCAACAGAAATGACAAATTCAGCTGAAAGAGTGCAAGATGAACCATGAGAACAATGTACCAAGATGCAAAAAAAGAAGGAGGAGAGTAAAATAGGAAGAGCAGTTAGCAAGAGCATCAATTTGTGTTTTTCAGCATCTGCACCATGAACAGTCTTGAAGGAGAGCAGAAAAGAAAACTCAACCATCCAGGAAAGAATTCAGGGAACTTGTCTTCTACAGACTGGTGCCAGATGGAGGCAGAGCTGTCAAGAGACTGCACAAGTCAACAGGGGTTAGGTTGTATCTGCAAAGCCACCTGCAGGAACTCTTGCTAGGGCCTCTAATGAGAGTGGTCCCAAACACTTTCCCCACAACTAGGTCCCCCAGGGAATTTGTATTTAACTGTCATACACCCAGTATCATCACTTCCTGAGGAAGTCACGCAGGACTCATTGGGCTTAAGTAGATATCTCTTTCAGTGGGTTTCTATTACAGAACCATTGCCTTTGAGTGAAGTGTTAAGTGGCAATTGTGGGAACTGCTGCAAGCAGGTGTGGAGGACAGCGACTGCTCCAGGTTTACTCATCCCTAAAAACGCACAGTGCTTGACACAAGGTGCCAGATCAAAGACTTTTGTTTTGCTCAGTTCCAAATCAAGAATCCATGAATCACCTTATTTGAGCCCTTCCTAAATAGTAAAGTGAGGAGAGTGAAACTTATTATTTTTCTTTGTGTGTGTGTGTGTGTGAGCCAGAATATCATGCGTGTGAGGGTAAGGTCCCAGCTGCATGTCTACTTGCTGTCCTTTAACACCTGTTACCACTTGTGCTTACAACCACCCTAAATGCACCCACATGGGAAACCTGTTGAGAGTCCCAGCTGTGCAGATGAAGACACTGACTTTGGCCTCTGAAGTCACCCATGACCATACCTGTGCTGAAATTCAGGCCTGCATCTTTGGTGGGCATTGTCTGGTCATTTACTCATGTGTTCTCAATCTTCCTTATCATTCCTGCAGTTCTGTACTTTCTTTCCTTTTCTTTTCTTTTCTTTTCTTTTTTCTCTTCCCTCCCTCCCTCCCTTCCTTCCTTCCTTCCTTCTTTCCTTCCTTCCTTCCTTCCTTCCTTCCTTCCTTCCTTCCTTCCTTCCTTCCTTCCAGATGTATTTATTCTGTTTTCCTGGAAATGCATTTGCACAAACAGTCGGTGAGACAGAAGAACATCTTCTATCTGCTGGTTTACTCCTCAGATGGCTGCAACAACCAGAGCTTAGCTGATCCAAACCCAGGAGCCAGGAATTTCTTTCCCTTCTCCCTCAGGCAGATGCAGGGCCCAAGGCTTTGGACCATCCTCGACTACTTTTCCAGACTACAAACAGGGAGCTGGATAGGAAGTGGAGCAGCTGGGACTGGAACCAGAGGGCGCTGGGATTCCAGCTCTTGCAAGGGGCAGGATTAACCAATTGAGCCTTCGAGCTGTTCCCGCAGTTCTCCACGTTGACACCAGTCAGTTTCCCACTAGCTGGTATTTGGTCTGAGTGATTGCAAACACTGTCTCACTCAGGTGAAAATAACGATTGATTTTGAAAGATTTTGTTTTGACTGAGGCACTGCCTATTTTTCCTGTGCCTGTAGAAGCTTCTTTCCTGACTCCTAGCTGGAATCAACAGGGCTTATTTGAAAGTAGAAGTGTGCCTAGTTCTATTAAATATAGACTTGACCTTTTCTATTTTCGTTTCCCCTCCACTTTCCTCATAAGGAACTACAAAGAACAGCAACAGCTACAACCATTGTGATGCAGAAAGCTACTGGAGAGGAAAAGAACCTGCAGCACCTGGCCAGGCCGCTTCGCCCCGCCCCCGGCCGCCACGCCACGCCCCGGCCGCCTGCCCCGCCCCCGGCCGTCCCGTCCCTGCCCGCCCCTGTCTCCTAGCCCCGCCCCCTGCCCACTCGCTACGCCCCTGGCCTCCCTGGCTCTTGGCTGCCGCCTCGCCACGTCCCCGGCCGCCTCGCCACGCCCCCGGCCGCCTCGCCACGCCCCCGGCCGCCTCGCCACGCCCCCGGTCGCCTCCCCTTCCCTCGGCTCCGCCTCCCAGGGCGTGCAGAACCCTGAGCCCTGCGGGCAGCACGTGACCGTCCACTGCCCGCCGCAAGCTGAGATGACCGGCTTGAGCGGTGGCCGCTGGTCCTTCGGCTCGTCGTAGGCCGGGCTGTGGTGGGAACGTGGAGCTTGGAGTGACGGCTCTGGAGTCCACTCGGAACATGGACGCGCAGGAGAATCCCGAGGGCTCGCGCCCACCAGAAGGTGAAGGAGAGCAGTGGCCAGGCTCGCCGGTGCCTCAGGCCTGGTGGTCTTTAAGATTGAATTGCTTTTAGGTTGGTTAGCTTCCTAGGGCTTCGCAAAGGCTGGGCCCTGTGGCCGGTTTTCGGCCAGCCTGTCTTTTCTTTCTGGAAGGGGTAAAGTTCGAGTACTGGATGCGGTACTGTCTCTAAAGGACTTTCTTCCCAGTGGCTCTGCTTTTGAGAATGATATCAAATACGTATCCATTATGCAAATTGAAAACAGTCCCAGGTATTCCTGTCTCTTTCCTCGGATTTCCCTACTTCTATTCCAAAATTTTTACAAGGATAATTAACACTTCCTCATATGGAGAGTTATTTTATTTAAAGATTTTTTGGGGGGGGAAAGCAGGGGGCAGGGATCTTTTTTCTAGACTACAGTGGCAAAAAAAACAAAATATAAAAAATCAAATCTATTTCTCTAAACATTAACTCCCAGATCTTTAATATGAAAACAGCTGATGAAGTTGCTGGTATGTGTGAAGCTCAGAGTAATTTATTTGGTGTCTTTAAATAAGATGCTAATTTATCCCTGGGAATACATCTTCCATGAATTGATGTAACAGACTAGTAATCAGGGCAGAAAAAAAGTTGATCCATGTTTTTGTGAGACTTGTCTTTCCAGGAGCATGCTATTTAATTGTTAATTTGGCAGTTGAGTGATTTAACTTGTTTTCTCATCTTTGTAAGTCAGTTGACTCCGGTACCTCTAGAATTCTTCGTAATCTGACAGCACACATGGCTGTGCTTAACGTGTTGTTGAGTCTGTAGTGTAGGAAGCCAAGGCCATGATCTTGACAGCAGCCTCCGGGAGATCACCACAGCGCCTCATCCTTCCCAAGTGCACTGAAGGTGAAGGTGAAACAGACCAGATGGCTTGGTAATTTCATTGGAAATAGTGTAGAAGTAGAAAGTGATGTATTTTCAGAATCACAGTGATGAACAAGTGTGGTGTTCTCCTAGCTCAAATGTGTTGTATGTAAAATAGCCCTCTGCTCAACCAAAGTTATCTTCAAAGTGCTTCATCCAGGTTCTGGAATCACATGCCCCAACTACACGCCTGTAATTGCAGCCTGTTTGCATTCAAGCTGGTGGCCCAGCAGACGATACAGGACAGCCACCCAGGCGGTTTTCCAAAGAACAGCTTTTTGTACTGATATCTGTAGCGTCCGTGAACTTCAGTTCCATGATGGGCTATGCCATCCTTGGTCCCTTCTTCCCCAAGGAGGTAAGACACTTTTATATCCTTTTGAACTGCAACTTTTGAAGACATCGTCTGAATGACTTGTTTCCTACAGTGTGTGAAATGTAAATATGGATGATGTATGGAACTTCAGCAGTATATTTCTCCTAGGATATGTGATGCAGGAAAAAAAAAAAACAAGAATGGAAAGAGCATCTTGGGGAGGCAGGTGGAGGCAGACACTTGGCACAGTGCCTGACGGTACCTGCAGTGCTTATTGGAACATCTGGTTCAGGTCCTTAGTCCTGGTTTCTCTCCTGCCTGTCGAGGTTCCCGTCAATGGGCTGCCTGGGAAACTGCAGATGACAATTCAAGTGCTTGATTCCTGCCTCACATGTGGGAGACTCGCACTGAGGTCTGGGCTCCTGGCACTGTGCTGGCCTGCCTGTTGTGCATTTGGGGAATGAACCAGTAAACGGAAGATCTCTGTCTCTGCCTCTGAAATAAATAACAATATAAGTCAAAATATGTCTTGGGAGGAGATTCATCTAAATATAATTAGCCTTCTCATTGGCACTTACTTTGCCAGGTGTTTACCTGGTTTCTGTAGTGGAACAAGAGGAATGGTACTAGAAATGGAGATTTGAATGTTACAGCAACAGGAGAGTGTTAGCAGAGTAACTCTGTCTCCAGGAGTTTTTGTTTATTACCATCTTGAAATTAGGAGGTACTGCTGCATTAAATTTTCTTTTCATGCTTGAGTCTGGCATGGCCTTTAATTGTCATGTTTTTACAAGGAGGCCTTCAGATATGTAATGTTGACTAGTTCCTCTAATTATAGACTTTTACGTGGGCCTTGGGTTTAGGGTTGAAGGCACAGGTGGTCTCCAAGAACTGGCTTCTGGGGATCAGGGGGATACTTATACGAATGGAATAGGACTGGCCTGAACAAGGCGAGGTCTGTGTGTTTCATTTTCTGCTGTTTGCCAAAGTCTCAGCTCACAGTGCACTGGCAGCTTCTTAGGCCTCTAAGAACTCTGATAACATAGGGGCCTTCTCTCTGCATGTGACAAAGAAGGCCAAAGTCACTATTTGCTGAAGGGACCCTGTGACTTATGCTCACGTAGCTCTGCTTTTAATGTATATCCCACTCCTTTATGCGTTTTGGCCCTGCACAACCCCCGTAGGTAGGATAATGAGAATGTCAGTCACACCAGAAATGAAGAAGCACTCTCAGAAGTTGTGACATTCCCAGTTCAGTTCTGATCACAAAGGAATTTTCCAAGCTCTTACTCTTGGTTGTGCCAGACACTGTATGTGGTAGGGAGGAAAAAAGGTCAAGCGCATGTACCTCTATTGGCTAGGAGTGAAGAAATGTGAACAGCAATAACAACAGTAACAAATGGTTGCAGACTATGTGAATTTTCTGTCAGAGAAATGGCTTATTGTGCCTCACAGGAGAAACCTAAAGAGGCTCTTGAGAGGTGGTAGCTCCAAAGCTGCATAGCAGATACAAGGGTGTTCTAGAACTTGCAGATATGGCCAAGTGAATGGTATGGCCATGGGGAACAGCACATAGCTTGTCTGGCCTGACCTGGGAGTGGGGTGGTGCAGCCTGGAACTGCTATGCACACCCAGCACTGAGTCACCAGGAAGTTGTCAGAGCTGTCTGAGCAGAGTAGAGTGACAAGATTTGCTTTTTGGTAAAATATTAATAATGGGAGCCCCTGGAATTAGAAGAATTATAAGGGATCAACCAGTTGAATGTGCATGTCCTGGTTTAGCTGGAATTAGGTAAGTACAACTAAAGGAAAGCCAGGCTATGGTGTGAGCTTTTCAGCTTTTGCTTGTAGAGAAGCAGGCTGAAGGAAAGAAAATGAATTCAGGAGACGGGACTTTAGAAGTTGTAGCACAAGGGTGGACTCTTCTTTTTGATTCTTTTAAAGTCTTCAGGTTGATAATACATTGAAAAAATTGTACACTTAATCCTGCGTGTTCATGCATACTGTTAGAACTAATAGGGCAAAGGAAAAGTGAAGACCTTCTTTCTAAATTCAAGTACGTGATTCTTACTTCTGTTCATCATTTTTTCTGTCCTGCTTCTCCTTTGTCATAGCATTACATGTGAACTAGAAGTGATTTTTAAGTTATTTATTTATTTTTATTTAGAGATGGAGTTAAAGAGAGAGAGAGGAAGAGAATCAATGTATCGGTCTGGTTCACTCCTCAGATGGCCTCAATGGCTGCAGCTCAGTCAATCCAAAGTCTGGAGCTCCTGGGCTTCCCACATGGGTTCTGGGGTCCCAGGACTTAAACCACCCTGCACTGCTTTCCCATCCTTAAGCATGGAGCTGGGTTGTAAGTGGAACACCAAGGGTACCAATCGGTGCCTAGATGGGATGCTTGTGGCACAGGCAGAGTTTAGCCTACTATGTCCTGGAACCGACCCAAAAGCGTTTTTAATATCTGATCTTGTTCTCCCATTGTAAGCAGGTCCCCAGAAATGTTCAGTTGCTGCCAAGGCATGTGGTTCGAGAGAGTTCTCTGTTATTATTGCATTTGCACAGTGGATATGGGACTTGATGTAGAATGTAGTGAGTCAATGATTGCTTGACTTTTGCAAATCTGTGTCTTTAATCTATGAATGTGGATTTTGAAAAATATGAGATGGTTTAAAAAAGTCTGTGGAAAAGAGATTAAAAGATAATGAGGATTTCCCTCCAACCTTTTGAAGCATTGTTGTGTATCCTCTATTTACTGGTGGGCATACAATACATAAGATCACCACAGTAGAGTTTCTGGACGATAGTGAGAACCAGTAAGTATTATTTCCATAACCACTATTGTGTTCTAAAAATTACATGCATATTGTCTCTATTAAGTATATTGATAATGTAATATCTTTCATTGAATATTTTGCTTACGGCTTAATTGACTCTGGCAGTTCCTTCACTTTGAGGAACAAGAGCTTTCTGTAGTTAAAAACTGTGGTCCATGTGTACTCTTACTGTGACCTGGGATGTGGTGAAGACTATCTTGAAAAATGGAATCTCGCATCTCATTCATGTGGTAGTTGGAACCCTAGAGGAGAACACACAGTTCTGAAGATTGTGGAATTGTGGGTTTAAATCCTTCCTGAGTAATTACTGCAGTGCTGTGGACCCATTTGTTCTGCTCTCCTCCACTAGAGGCTCTGGGACCACCTCTCTGGTGCCTTCCTAGAGGAGTGGGATCCTTCTTGAAGTCAGCTTGTGGTTGACTTCACTTATCTGGTCTCCTGTGACAGGGTACTCTCAGAAATGTAGGGCCGATTTAAAGAAGCATAGTTTAACATGAAAAAAAGATGTCCTTGAAAGAAACAGAGACTGAATGAGAGTGAGATGTTTACATGGGGAGGAATGGAAAAGTTTATCTTAAAATTATTAGAGAGAATAGGTAAAGAACTATGATTAGAGCTGTTGTAGAGATTGGCTTTTGAAGGAAATAAGAGGGAGTGTGTGAGTGTGAGTGTGTGTGAGTGTCTGTGTGTATGTGTGTGTGTGTATGTCTGCGTATGTCTGCCTGTGGTTGTGGTCATGCAGTCAGGTTTCTACAGTGAGAGGAAAGTTACTGGCAGAAATCGGAAGCTCTGTGAAAAGGATACATCTCAGTTGGACTTTTCTATCCATAAGCCATCACGGCTGGTACAACACCTGACATCTAGAAGGTGCTCAGTCAGTCATTGCTAGCTGTCTGAGAGGCCACAGAGTTGCATTGTTCAGGCTTTGACTTCATTGTATGATCCATTGCCTATCCCAGATTGAAGAAATTAAATCATACTCTAAGTCCTTATGGTGCTATGGCTTGGAAACTGAAGTAAGGATCTGCTATATTTTCAGAATTCAAAAAGTTTTGTTAAAGCTTATTTCTGCTCTTGACTATATGTTCAATTATCTATCACAATAATACATATCTCAGGATCAATACTGTATAGTCTGCAGCAAATGATGGGGGCTCATTGCTTAAAAAGCAAGACTGTAGCACTGACAGCTATGGCTGATGGGAGCTAAACTGTGGCAGGTGTTAGAGGAGAAAGCGAGGTGTTTGGGAGCGTGTTTCCTGCTCTGTGGTGTCAAGCAGGATCTTTCCACACTGTCAGGTAGTTGTCCTTAGTGCTGGAAGCAGAGACTGAATGGGTCGTGGATGACCCAAGGGCCAGCTCATGCAACTTCCTATTCTTGAATTTCGTGACTGGGAAGCATTCTTTGTTTTTAGCAGTGTACAATTCTAGAACTAAGTGTGATACTGAGAAGGAAGTGCATCTAGAGCAGCTGTTTGCCTTGTCCCGTGACTATGAAATAGTGCCCAGATTTCTTCCTCCGAAGATTTTTGGGTTTGTTTATAGTCATGCCCGCTAGCACTTAGGGATGTGAGGAGTGAGTTATTTTCGTGTCCATTTCATGCCTAGTTTTCTTGTTCTTTGTCACTCTGAGCATTTTAAGGACTCCCCCAAGAAAATTCACAAGAAGATGCCACTTTGATCTCATTTTTTTCCATGCTGCATCAGGTCACATGCTCACTTCACAACAGTGCAAAGTCTGTCTTTCAAACATTTTTCCCATTTTGGTTTGTTTAAAGGCTGAAAAGAAGGGAGCCAGCAATACTGTGATTGGTATGATCTTTGGATGTTATGCTTTGTTTGACTTGCTGTCATCTTTGGTGTTTGGAAAATATGTAAGTATTAAAGTATGTGCATTTTAATTTAAAAGTTATAAAATGAATTATTGTAAGTTTGCAAATTCAGAACATTATAATAATAATGACCTGTGCAATTTCATAAATTTTTCATCCTTAAGAGAGATGAATTTTTAACTATTTCCATGTGTATAAGCCATTCCAGAAGAAATGATCATAATAATATATTAACTGTACATATCTTCCCCAAGTCTAGATTTTATAACACAGTGGACTTTTTAATGTCAATGTAGTATTGGTGAAGTCATCAACTTACCACTTTTCTTTGGCATTTGTTACAGCTTGCACATATTGGTGCAAAATTTGTGTTTGTAGCAGGAACATTTGTCTCAGGAGCAGTTACAGTTCTCTTTGGGTAAGCCATGCTGTGATGTGTTTGAAATGTCCATATATCTAGTAATTGAGTTTCAAATGTTAATGACTGCTTTAAATCTGTGGATGCTATTGTTTGTTGAATGCACAGCCTATGACCATTGGAGGAGGAATTGGACGAGAAGAGAACAGGGATGAATGACACCGATCTTAACAAAAGTCTATAAAGGGATTGCTGTTAAGCCAGCAAGCTTATCAATTTTTTAAAATTTATTTTTTATTTGAAAGACAGCTTTAGAGAGATCTTCCATCAGCTTGATGCTCACCATATGGCCACAGCACTGAGCCAGCACACTGACCTCTTCTCAACCTACACTTTAGGATTTCTGTGATTGTGAATGACAGAAAGTGAACTCACTTGCTGAGTAACAGGAACCTTTTTGGCTTTTGGAAGAAAAGTGGATTTCTTTCCTGAGCAATCAAGTCAAAATGCCAGGACACAGGTGCTGTCTAATGCCATCAGAAATCTTTCTCAGCTGCCCAGCTTTTGCTGTCTTCTTCGTTCTTGGACTTGAGGGCTCTCCTTTTGGTGTCAGATATCCCCCGCGGTGCCAGTAGGAAGAGAGTGACACTCTCATGATAGCTCCCTGAGAGTCCTAGACTAAATTTTTTTTTTTTTTGCTGACGCATCCTGCTTCATTGGTATTATAACTCAGGAAGGAAAATATTCTCATTGGCTGCACCAGGTCACATGTTCACTTCACAACAGTGCAAAGTGTTTTTCCCCATTGCTATTTCCAGAGAGAGGGAAAATGAGCACCAGAAGGGAAAAAGCTCTGAACATCTTGAAGTTTAGAGCCCATAAACCAGTAGAATAATGACAAATAATAGGGAAGAGCTTGTGCACGTGTTGGTGGGGGTGGGCACAGGAGGAAGATGAGAGTGCAGTAAGATTATGGGGAAATAAAGTCAAGGAGGCTGTTAGAGTAACTGGAAAGTTTTTGTTGTTTGTTCATTTGATTTTGTTCTTTCTTGGGCGGGGTGTTCTATTTTCTGCATTCATTCATTCTTTTGATGGTATGAGAGATCTCGGAAGGTAAATCCTTACTTGTAAATGTGGCTTGTTGGGAACTCTGCATACACTTAACCTCTGTTTCTGTGGATTCTGCCTCCAGGGATTCAGTCAACAATGGTTAGAAGGCATTTTTAATAAAAAAAAAAATGCACCTGTGTTGAACATGTAAAGATATTTTTTTGTGTTATTTTCTAAACATAGTATAAGAACATTTCATGGCATTGACTTTGTATTAGGTTTTATAACTAGGATATAAATGATTTAAAATATAGAGGGGATGCTCATAGATTGCATACACATACTAGTTCATTTTACATAAGGAGCTTGAGCATCTGTGGAATTTGGTTTCTGCTGGGGGTCCTGAAGCTAATGACACCAAGGGACAGTCAAAAAAGTTATTTAGTATTATTATCTAGGGGAAAACTATGTCAGTATAAAAGGGAAACTAAGTTGTCATGAGTCAAACTGTTTCCACCACCCTCAGTGGCTGCCTCCTATTGAAAATGTAGCAAAGCCACTCTTTCTTAAAAAAAGATTTTATTTTATTTTTATTGGAAAGTCAGATATACAAAAAGGAGGAGAGACAGAGAGGACGATCTTTTGTCCAATGACTCACTCCCCAAGTGGCCGCAGCAACCGGAGCTGAGCTGATCTGATCTGAAGCCAGGTGCCAGGAACTTCCTCCAGGTCTCCCACGTGGGTGCAGGGTCCTAATGCTTTGGCCCATCCTGGACTGCCTTCTCAGGTCACAAACAGGGAGTTGGATGGGAAGTGGGGCAGCCGGGATTAGAACTGGCAGCCATGTGGGATCCTGTCCAGGCGTGTGCAAGGCAAGGACTTTAGCCACTAGGTTACTGTGTCAGACCCAATGTAACAGAGCCACTCTTTAAAAACGTGTTCTTAAGACAGCTTACTGTAATAACCATGAGTGAATACCATGGGAATAATTAGGGGAAAAAATAAAAATCAGCTTGACATTTAAGACTTGTCTTTCTATTGCATTTTAGTGTCTTGGATCAAGTGCCAGATGGACCGATATTTATTGTTCTGTGTTTTCTGGTGAGGATAATGGATGCAGTGAGCTTTAGTGCAGCCATAACTGCCTCTTCTTCTATCATCGCAAAGGCTTTTCCAAATAATGTAGCTACAGTATTGGTACGTATCTTACACGCTTTTGAAAATTTCCTTTGATTGACCTTGCAGATGAAAACTGGCATCCTCTCTCTATCTTCGGTGTTATCACTTTCTCTTCTGATTTCTTCTTGTAGCAGAAGGTTTTGGGCTGTCCTCCACTGCTTTCCCAGGCCACATGCAGGGAGCTGGATGGGAAGTGGAGCAGCTGGGATATGAACTGGTGCTTGAAGGGGGTTAATTAGCTAATTAAGCCATTGTGCTGGTTCTGTTTTTTAAAATTTTGTTTGAAAAGAGACACACAAAGAAAACCAGAGTCCAAGGTCTTCCATAGATGAATTCACCTCTCCAAGTGCACACAACATCTACACCTGGGCCAGAACAAAGCCAAGTGCCTGACACTGGCTGTGGGTCTCTCACCTGGATGGCAGTACCTGAGGTACTTCAGCTAGCATTGGTTGCTGCCTAGGCACACCAGTAGGATGCTAGTGCTGGAAGCAGCGGATCCAGGCTGTAGCCAGGCACTCTGCCATGCGCTTCAGGCATTCCACATACCAAGTGTCTCTGCCTACATATTCATTGGTTATTTCTTCAAATGGAATGAATTAGCTCAGTCTTGTTTTCTTTTTGCTCATTTTCAGGGAAGTCTTGAAACTTTTTCCGGATTAGGACTAGCCCTGGGTCCCCCTTTAGGTGGCTTTTTATATCAATCCTTTGGCTATGAGTTGCCTTTCATTTTTCTGGGCTGTTTCGTCCTCCTGATGGTGCCATTCAACATGTGTATTTTACCCAATTATGGTAAGTCTGCTTTTATCGCTTGCTTTGAGACACTCACGTTTGAGTATGCCTTTGTGGGGGACCAGTTTACTACACACTCAGTTTAGTCAAGATTGTGAACAATTGCTTTTTAGAGTTCCATGAAGCAGCTGGTTTTTTTTTTTTCCAGATTTTTATAGGCAGTTGTCTTATATGAATTTTTATATACCACAGATTCTTCCCAACCTTTAGAACAATCAAATATTCAATGTCTGCTTCAAAATGATTCCATCTGTAATGCCATCTAGATGTACTGATGAACTGAACTAAATAGCCAAAGCAGGAGGTTACTGTGGGGCACGTTGGCCACCAGCTCTGAGAGGTTCCAGGATGTCTCTTAGGCAGTAAGTGATACACAGACTTCAATGAGAATTTCCCCTAAGAAATAGCCTTGTTTCATAAGTATTTCTGTCTGCTCAAGTATTTCAGATAGTCCACTTACTTTGCTCCAAAATATTTTTGAAACCAAATATGGTTGATCATGCATATTTGGCATAAACCCGAAGCACATACATCACCCAATTATGCATATTATAAAATATAGAAATGTATTCCTGCACATGTGTGATTGTAATCAAAAGCCTGGGCTACTTCACTTTGCTAAGGAGAAGAAAAGCCATAACGAATAATTCTTATGTTATTTTGTACACACCCAGTTGCAGAGAAGTGAATATACATTTTAAAAAAGATTTATATATTTTTATTGCAAAATCAGATTTATAGAGAGAAGGAGAGACAGAGAGAAAGATCTTTCATCCTCTGGTTCACTCCCCAAGTGACCACAAAGGCCAGACCTGAGCCGATAGGGAGCCAGGAGCCAAGAAGTCTTCCTGGTCTCCCACACGAATGCAGGGTCTCAAGTTTTTGGGCTGTTTCCCAGGACACAAGCAGGGAGCTGGATGGGGAGCGGAGCAGCTGGGACATGAGTGAAGTACCCACAAGGGATCTCAGTGCATTCAAGGCCAGGACTTCAGCCATTAGGCTATCACATTGGACTCAGAAAGTACATTTCTAATGAAGGCAGATAGAGGGTAAGGCCAGTGCTTCCTCCCACAGGTTTCTACAGCTGCCCACACAGCATAGCTCAGGTGCAAGGGCACGGAGCCACCTGAGGCTGCCGTGGCAATCACCTGGCTGCAGAGTTAATGCCTCACAGGAGGAGTCAACCTGCCTTGTGGTATGTGCATGGGAACTGCTGCCAGATCTACAGGAGGGACACACTGGTTACAAGCACCTTGGAGAGCCACACAACACCTCTTTCTCACATAACTAGAGTTCATTTTTGGACGCTTCTGTCAAGATAAAGTTTACAACCAGAGTTACAGTATTGTAAGTAAGGTTGCCGTGCAACATGGTACTCCTTACAGGTAGGCCCTTTGAGTTGCTGGCAGGAACTCAGGACAGATCTGGCCATCCCAGTGGGACCCTGGAGCTGGAGAGGCAGTACCACGGGGAGCCACACGGTGGTGCTTGTCCTCCTTCGAGGTTTGTGGATGAACATTCCTGGCTGTGCCTAGGTTTGTTGGCTGAATACTTGGCTAATAATTAAGAAATAGACAGCGGGTCAGAGTCTCACGCAGCAAGGAGAAAACACTTTTAACTCTTTCCTACATCGTTTGCCAAGACATACTAACTAGCTTGTAGTTCAGCTGCATATTGAGAATCTCAGTGATTAGATGTTGAACTTGCCCCAGCACGGGTTACCCTTGATGCCTGTCCGGTACTTCTCACCTGTCTCTCCCCTCCACACTCGCTGTCCCTTGTAGCCTTCAGCCACACCTACCTAGCTACTGAGCAATCATTTCTCTTCATTTTTTTTTAATTATTTCTAAAGTTTCCCTGCAGCATGACTGAACTTAACAAAAGCAGAGATAGTTGGAATTTTCATGACCCACAACAACAAACAGTTTGAAAACTCTTCTTTTTTAAAATTTTTTCTTGAAAACTTTCTTTTATATCTTTTGTTTAGATTGGGTGTATAAAATATGGTTTTAAAAATCCACAGGATTGATACTATTAAGGCTGTGAATACAGATTGAATTGTTCTCATGTAGAAGTACTTTAAAAAAATTGTTTTGGAAGAGTTTGTGTTATAGGTGGAATTTAATGTTCTCCAAATTCTACCTACCCTATCTTCCTGTAGACGCTCAGGCGACATGGCTTTTGCTTACGGCAGCTGAGTCCCACTGCTTCAGTCTTAGTATCTGCTCACAGGGCCTTCTATGTTTTTTTTATTTTAAGATTCATTTCTTTTTATTCCAAAGTCAGATATACAGAGAGGAGGAGAGACAGAGAGGAAGATCTTCTATCTGATGATTCATTTCACTCCCCAAGTGAGCACAATGACCGGTGCTGTGCCGATCTGAAGCCAGCAGTCAGATGCTCTTGCAGGTCTCCCACGCGGGTGCAGGATCCCAAGGCTTTGGGGCATTCTCCACTGCTTTCCAGGCCACAAGCATGGAGCTAGATGGGAAGTGGAGCTGCCGGGATTAGAACCGGCGCCCATATGGGATCTCTGCATGTTCAAGGCAAGGACTTTAGCCGTTAGGCCATGTTGCTGGTACCTGTTTGTCCTGTTCTGAAGTACTATTTCCAAAGTAGGCATGAGCAAGCCAATCCTCTTATTGAAATCCTTCATTAAGCTCAAGTTGCTACAGTTAATACTGGTATATTGAATACGGTTGCCTGCTCTTATCCATGGGATGTATTTCAATATCTCTAGTGATGCTTGCAACTGCAGAGGGTACCAAACCCTGATAACACTATGGTTTTTCCTACCCATATCTACTTAATGATTAAAGTTAATTTCTAAATTAAGTACAGCAGAAATTAGCAATTGCTGATAAGATGGAACAACTCTAATAATGCACCATAAAAGTTCTTTAAAGCATAATCAGCTTCTTGTTTCTGGAATTTTCCATTTCATATTTTCAGGTTGCAGAAAGTAGAACTGTGGATCAGAGGGAAGTCTCCTAAGCTGAAAATTGTTAAGAGTAGACCGTAAATAAAACACACACACACACAAATGCTACGAGTAGACCTGAAATAAAAGCACAGAAAATTGCACGTACTAGAATACATTCATTAAATCACCTGATTTAGCCATTTCACAATATATACATATATCAAAGCATTATGTTTTCCACTGCAAATATACGTGTTTGTTAATTGTCAACTTAGGGTAAAAACATATTGTGAAATGTAACCTTCATCCTGAAATCTATTGGGAGCTAGTGTTAGATTTATTTTTTACTTTTGTTTCTTTTTTATTATGTTAATTTAATATTAAAAAGAATTTTACATAGTTTATTAGGGCAGAAAGGGTCAGGACTACAGGAAAGTGGGTGAGACCATTATTTACACATTTTTTTTTCTGTATGTGGGATAAGCGGGGAGATAAAGGGAGAAGCCCCACTAAGCCTCCCACCCATTCCAGGATCCCTAAGGTGAGGCATGCTCCGAGGGCACTGCTCAAGTGGCTTTGATAGCTCAACAGTTCTAAACTGCAGCCAATCTTTCCATTCCAAGCACGATGAAATCCCTCCAGATCCAATGACTGACATAGTTCACCTTAGAGTCTCCATTTACCCAGATTTTCACTTTATTCTATCCTCCATCCTCTGTCTTGGTACCAGGTGCCCTCTGCAGGTTCTGATGGACTGCTGTAGCCTCCATGTGCACCTGGATATGCTGTCTACTGCTCCATCTGAACCAAGGAGGAGGCTCAGCTTTGACACATGCACTCCATGGTCAGATCATGGAACCTGCACTTCTCTTCATGGTTGTGGTTCTGGCATCAGCAGTTTAGTTGGAAGAATCCCCAAAAAATCTTTGTCTGCAGTGACCCCAGACCTGATTCTTCTGTGTCTTGCCTGCCCAGGGTGGGACAGTCCATTGTCCCAGTCAGCTTATGCCTCTGCTGGTGGTTGCATTTGCTGGGTCAGTTCTGTTTCCAGCCTTATCTTCCCCATGAACTCATGGGTGTTGCAGTCTAGACTGATTCTGCCCACCTCATACTCAGCTCTCACATAAACCAGTTCGAGCTACAGCCTAGTAGGAGCAACCCACAAAAACCCCCACCAGACCTACCCCCTGCCCTGGTTCCTGTGCTTGCCAATATATACAGCAGACTGGTTCAGTCTGCCCCACATCCCATTCAGCTCTCATACATGTCAATGGGCATTGAAGCCTAGTTCAACACAACCAGCTCCACTATGCAGTCCACACTAGTGCCAACGAGTGCCACCATCTGTCTAGCCATGCGTGCCCCAGTCCTGGTTTTCATGCTCCCCAGTGAGAGTGATAACCCAAGAGGGAAGTACCCACTATTTCCCTACTGGGTCCACTCCCACATCATGCACTTTGCAGGTGGTTCTGCAGTTTAACTTGACAGAATTAACCCCCAGTGGCTCATCTGCCAGCTGATGCTGTGGCAAAACCCAATAACCCTCACCCACTCTGATTTATGCTTGCACCAGTAGCAACATTTAGCCCAGCCTGGCTTTTCCCTGATCTAGCTCGCATGAGGCCCACAGGTATTGTAGCCCTGCCTGGTCTGGTCTGCTCCCATCCCAGCTCACGCTCTCCAATGGGAATGGCTGTCCAGCAGGGGAACCCTCCACCTTCCCCCTACTAGCTTTGGCCCCTCACCCCCTGGCTTCCACGTGTACTGGTTGGGTGCTGCAATCCAGTTTGGCATGGCCCACCTTGCCTTTGCCAGTTGGTGTCTGGCCCGGCACAGCCCACCCACAATTCTGGCTCTAGCTGGTGGGGGCACAGCTTAGCCCTGTCCCAGCCATAATGTGTACTACTGGTATGTGTTGCTACTGAACCTGGCTGGACCACACTCTGTGCTGGTTGTTGGATTCACCAGTAGGTGATGTGAACTGGTTCAGCCTGGTGTGCCCCTGACCTGTGCCAAATGTATGCCAATAGGCTGCTCCCTATCGTGGTTCTTGCACTCACCTGCAGGGACTCCTCAATCAGAACCTCTCCCAATGCCAGATCTTGCATATACCAGGGTGTCCATGGGCCAACCCTATTTAGTCCACATGCTGTCCTGGCAGGAACAGTGGCCTTTCCTGATTGGCTTTCAACACATTCCATTTCTTACTGTTGGATGTTTCAGCACAGCCACGGCTCATTCTTACCCAAACACTGCTCACACATGGCTCAGTAGGGGAAGAGACCTAGCCTAGTCCCTCCTACACCTACGTTGGTGCACCAACCCCAAGTCCACACTTGTAATAAGGGACACTGTAGTCATATCCAGACCAGAATGCAATCCCCATTCTGGCATCATCCTTACCAGTGGGAACCCGAACCCAGCCAGAGTGTGCTCTTAGCTACTCAACCAGGCCTGTTCCCAACCATAGATCATGTGCATGCCAGTGGTTGCTCTGACCCAGCTCCCGGCATAGCTCCTCACCTCTCTTGGCTTTTGCCTTCGATGTTGTGGGCTAGCATCCCTGACTCATTCAGACTAGCAGGTGTAAGAGCGTAGCTTGGCATAACCTGTGCTCCAGCCTGATTTCTGTTCTTGCTTGTGAACTAAGGTTTACTTGGCTCTGCTTGGATGGCCCCCTTTCATAATCAATCCACACATTAGCCAGTCTTTGGAGCTGTTTTGTCTAGCTTGTCCAACCCGCAGGCGTGGACCATGTGATCATCATTGAGAGTTATGACCCAGTAGGAGAGTTTCCCAAATTTCCCCACTTGACCCACTCCCAGACCCAGATCTCATACATGCCAGTGGGCATTAGGCCATCACCTGGCATAGCCTGCCCCTCCATTTTCGCCTTGTATGAACTGGTGAATGTTGCAGCCCGGTCCAGCCCCATCCTTATTTTTGGATGCACATGCAGGTGCTGCTCCCTTAACCAGCCCAGACTTTCATTGATCCCTGTACCCATGAGTGATGGCAGGTTCCATGGTCACACCTAGCTCAGACCTTCACCACCCCAACTCTTGAGCTAACCACGGGACTTCTATTTCCACAGGATTTGGCCCATACATAGCTCACAAAATATACCCCTGGACATGGTTCACTTGTGTGCTGGTTAGTGTCATGGCCCTTCCTAATGTGATCTGTCCCCTGTTCTGACATTCTGTCAAGTACTATGATCTAGCCCTGCTAGACAGGCCCCCAGCCCTAGCTTTCACATGGACTGTCATGTGGTTGTCAGCGTTGTTTGGTTATAACAAATCCTACACAGGACTCACGTAGGATGGTGTATCAATCTGACCCATACAGATTGTCTTGCTGCTCCCCTCAAAGCGCCAGGGCCAGTACCCATGCTCACATTCAAGTAAAGTGACCCTGCCATTGGGAGTCCCTCAGGACTGACTCCTCACCAACATGCATAATGGCCTCATTCATGGATGTGCCTAGGCAGCATTTCCACATCCCAAAGACCCCAGAGATCCCTGTTGGGTGGCCAGTAGGCAGAGCCTGGTGCCACTTGGCACACTGGCCGCCCTAAAGCCCAGGACTCGCTCTCTGTGTGGTGGTAGTGGCTCTAGCCAGGGCCCGAAGCATTGAGTCCAACCTGGTTTTGGGTATTCGCAGCAGCTGATAGGCTGCAGGAAGCTCTCTTCACCCAGGCCCCGAGGTTGAACTCCCCTGTGTCCTTGGACGATGGTGGCGGTGGGTCTAGCGATAGGTTTAAATAGAGGAGTCACATGACTGGCATATTTCCCACTTTTCTTACCCTGTTCATTCTGCAGAAATTAATTTTAGCAATCCTTTTGAGAGGTTCTCTGAACTGTATTGATCATTAGGCCGGATGCTGAGTAACTTATACTGCAGAGCTCAGCTGTCGTCTTTCCCCCATTACACCTGAAAACCATCTGACTTCTTTTGCTGTTGGCAGCGACTTGCTAGGGCAAGTTTTGTTAAATTAGAGTGATGTGCATTCAAGGGTGTATCTGACTTTGGAGGAAGCAACAGGAATACCACATTGAAGTGGTTTTGAAAGCTTTCCCATCTTATTTTTCTACGTGTCACTTGAACAAGCCCAGGTTTCCTTTACTTTGTCTTCTTAAAAAACTGAGGCAAACTGTTCATTCCTTATTTGAAAGACAAATTTACAGAGATGGAGAGAAGGAGAGATCTATCTGCTGATCCATTCCTCAAATGGCTTTAATGACTGGAACTGAGCTGGTCCGAAGCCAGAAGCTTCTTCTGGGGCTCCCATGTGGGTGGAGAGGCCCAAGGACTTGAGCCATCCTGCACTGCCTTCCAGGCCATAAACAGAGAATTGGATCAGAATTTGAGAAGCTGGGAAAAGAACTAGTATCCATGCGTGATGCCAGCGCCTCAGGCAGATGATTAGTTTGTTGAAACACTGTGCCAGCCCCCATAGATTTTTAATCAGGCTATTGTGATAACCCCTTTTCTCCTTTTATATTTTATGGAATGGGACTGAATATGCATACTGCTTTGTCTTAAACTGTAAATGAACAATGAAATTTACGTGCAGGATTACGTTGATGAATTGTAACTAGAATCATTTGCAATTTATATTTTAAAGGAAATCATAGACATGGAAAGTATACAGTTTGAAATTCAGCTATCTCCTTTCTGTCAATACCTCACTGAGCCACACGGTGGTGCTGTCATCTTGAAGTACTGTTTCTGTAGTGAAGCTCCTGGTGTGCTGTGACTTGGTTCCCAGCAACACCAATGATCAACTTTTATCTTTTGTAACCTGAACAAGTCTACGTGTAGGACTTAAAGCATTACTTCTTGAGTTTCTTCAGCTTTACCTCATACTTGATCATTGTTCAGTGAGTATTTTGTAGAATAACAATCTATACCAGTGCTGGGGAAGAAATAAGCACACACAAGGACTACTTCCAACCATCATGGAGCAGCCATTCTCTGGTGCTGTTATCATCTCCAATGGGATCACTTTAACAACCTCCCAGCCAGTGATCTTCTGTGCATTTTCCACATGGCCACGGAGATCCCTTTAAATCCTGTTGGAGCCATGATTCCTCAGACACCTTGGTGTATTTCACCGGGCGCTACACGATCACATCACCACCTGCTCTGAGTCGGCACCTCACGGCATCGCCAGGCCTGCCCCAATCTCCATCGTCCAAGTTTGCTTTTTTCCTTTTGTTTTGCTTTGCACAGCAGAGTTCCCTTCCCGCTCAGTCTCTGGATCATAGGCCTGATTTTGATTTTCCCTTCTTGCTCGTTTCAGGCTCATTCTCTGCACCAGCTTACATGGAAGCGCTTTGCACAGCCTTTCTGTGCAGTCTTCTCTGAGGTTTTAAGGCAGTGCTTGTTCGTGTTCTGCCAGATTCTTCTAACCCTGTCCTAGCTCCCTCAATTCCTCATTTTAACTTCCTATAGGACAGGATCTTAGTCTGTCGTGTCTACCTCTGTGTGCCCAGTGTTTTGTATGGTGTCTGCCTCGGTAGAGATTTTGCTCAGTAAATTATATGGAAGGTCGGAAAGCCTTGAAACTGTAGTGTACAACCCAAAGGGAAATATAGTTTCAGTGGTAAATTATATAGTACAGATTAGAAATGCAGTAGAAAGCCTGAAAAAGGAAAAAAAAATTATTAATTAGGAACGAGAATCAAACATTTCTGAGTAAACACAATTGATAACTTGCCAGGACAAAGGAATCAAACAAAATGACGATAGGCTTGGAAATAGCCATGCATGATGCTTTTGAGACAGTGAGGAAGTTGGGTTACTACTTTGTTGATGGGAAGTAAGTTAGGTGCACAACTTGAATGCAGATGTAATCTACACAGGATTCAGTAGCATACCTTTCAATATGGTGTTTGCTTTGCTGGCAGAAAACAAAGTAATTAATAATAACACAAGTTCCTCTAAGGACCTTGTTCCTTGCTGACGCTCTCGTGACACCTCTCCCAAACACCATGTCGAACTGCATGTTCTCCATCCTTTCTGGGGAAGGCCTTCCTTCTAGGTTATGCTGTGTAGTCTAGTCTCCCTCATGTCTGATTCTGGTTCATTGCCTTTTGCATTTGGGAAATCAGTTTTAAGAAAATTGAATGTGACCTCTAGATTTGAAGAATACACATGTGAATGTGGATGGATGATAATGTAGTGTTGAGCAAGCCCAAAGATGCAGCTATTGTGTGACAAGATGGACATGGCCTTACCAGTGTTTCTGTTCAAAAGGAACTAAAACAAAGTTAAGAGATTTCCATTGCTATGTTTATTTCTTGCATGTTTGTTTTTTCTTTTTCCACTCTACCCTAAAGAGGCTGATGTAGGTAAACACTCCTTCTGGAAACTCGTCACTTTACCCAAGGTTGTGCTGAATGCCTTAGTCATTATGTCAACCAACTCATGCTTTGGCTTCCTGGATCCGACTTTGTCACTTTTTGTTTTGGAGAAGGTGAGTTCTTTGCTGTGGCATGCGAACATAATTGCTGGTTCTTGGGCCCTGCTTTATGGAATACCAAGATAAGACTTTTGAGTGGATGTAAAAATGAGGCAGATGGGGAACTGCATACCGGGATAGCCTTCCTCTGTCATGTCCCTATGATTGAGGGATCTGACTCAATGAAGAGTGCAATCTTTCGCTAAAGGGGCTGGACATTGGTCTCTCTCCCATGACTTGCTAATGGCCCTGTAGAGCCAACATGGACCTCATCTGTGTTGCTGAACAAGGAACATGGTCCTCTGTGTTCCAGTGAGGCATGAGGTGCTTAAGACCATTTGGGGTTGGGAGGTTATTCTGTAACAGATTGTTTTTGGATCCACTCAATTTTTAGAGTGTTTTTCAGAATAGGACACTGCTGACTGCATGAGTCTGGAATAGGAGAAAGGAACTAAGAGACTCCAGTGCTGAAAAGTCAATGTTGACTTTTCAAGAGTTTGGTATTATAAAGTTTGTTCTTAAATAGTTAGGAAGAAAGATTATTGATGATGCAATAAAATTAATCATCATGTATGGCCATTAATTATATTAGACACTTACTATGTATCTATAAGGAGTCCTAAGTGAACAATGTTATTAAGTTGCTGCAGTGAAATAACAAGATTATCAGCTCAACTTTCCATGAAGTTTCTAAGATAGTAATTTTCATGCTTTCTGAACACTGATACATTATAAATATAATGATTAAAATGATTTTTGCTTTTACAATTCACCCTATCTTTTGAAATCATTACAATTGGAGGTACTTCACAGATAAGGTTGGGGACTGTAGTTTTTGTGTGTGACCCAAGGTTTAGGGAGCAATGTAACATCGTGTTTAACTGGTGAACATCTATAAGATAACACCCAAGAAATATTCTATTGTTGCAGTGACCCAATCCGTATCCATCGTCAACTACGCATCTCTTTGAGTCACTGTTTTCTGTGCTCCTGGAAAGTTGTGTCTAATGAGAAATAATCTGTGACTTATCTCTGAGAAACCCAAGCTGTTTCCATAGAAGAAGTCAGCCACTGCACCCCTTCCAGGAAAAAGTAGTTTATTTAAATGGGAAGAAGGAGACAGGTTTTCCCCAAAACACCACTGTGGCTGGCCACTTGTCATGTGATGGTGGGAAGGGGGGCCCCTACTTGCTCCAGGTTGGTTGGCGTGATGCTTTCACTCTGTTAGGGCTGTTGGCAGTGCCTCACCATGGAGGACTTTTCTCAGTTCAGAGAGAACTTGCTACACATCCTTTTTGAGGTTGGAGGGTTATTGTTCCATACAACTGTGACCTATGACATTCTCAGAAATTTACTTTCCATTTTATCAAATGTTTCTTTCTCATTGTCAGAAAACTTTGTTGTTCTCTCAGATTTATTTATTTACTTGAAGACAGAGTTGGGGGGCGTGTGAGAGAGAGAGATCTTGTGTCTGGTTAGTTCAGTCCTTTAAATGGTTGCAATGACTGGCCTAGGCTAGTCTGAAGCCAGGATCCATGAGAGCAAGCTTTCTTTGGGTAGTTTTTTAGTGACTTACCCCTGTGACTTTAATACAGAATTTCTTTTACAGTTTAAGTTACCAGCTGGACATGTTGGACTGGTATTCCTGGGTATGGCGCTGACCTACACCATTTCCTCACCACTCTTTGGTTTGCTGAGTGACAAAATGCCTGTACGTATGCTTGCTTTTTATTGGAGTTGCTCATGTATATTTAGATAAGTGCTTTTCCTGTGAGTCTGAGACTGGTGAGTCATTTAGTTGGAGAGGATCTATGCAATTGAGAGTTCTCTGTGTCTTCCCACTTCAGCCATGACCTTGAGCCAATTAACTTTTAATTGCCTCAGTTGTAAAATGAAAAATGTTTAAAGAATTTTTTTAAAGATTTATTTTTATTACTTTTTTTATTGGAAAGGCGGATATACAGAGAGGAGAGAGAAAGAGAGAGGAAGATCTTCCGTCTGATGATTCAGTCCCCAAGTGAGCGCAACGGGCCGATACTATGCCGATCCGAAGCCAGGAGCCTCTTCCGGGGAAGCGAGGCTGCCGGGATAGAACCGGCGCCCATATGGGATCCTGGGCGTGCAAGGCGAGGACCTTAACCATTGCGCCACTGTGCCGGGTCCACTGGTTCACTCCCCAAGTGGCCGCAATGGCCAGAGCTGAGCCGATCTAAAGCCAGGAGCCAGGAGCTTCTTCCAGATCTCCTACAGGGTGCAGGGTTCCAATGCTTTCGGCTGTCCTCTGCTGCTTTCCTAGGCGGCAACCAGGGACCTGGAGGGGCATTGGAGTATCTGGGACATAAACCAGCTCCCATGTGGGATCCCAATTTGTGCAAGGTGTGGATTTAGCCACTGAGCCATTGTGCCAGGCCCTAAAAGAATCTTTTCTAAAGCTATTGAGTTAGATTTTCTGAGGGAAAATGTTCTTTTATTAAAATTAAAAAAAGAAAATTGTAGGGCCAGGCATGGTAGCCTAGCACCTTAAATCCTTGCCTTAAATGCTCTAGGATCCCATATGGGTGCTGATTCGTGTCTGTGGGCCCTGCTTCCCATCCAGCTCCCTACCTGTGGCCTGGGAAATCAGTCAAGAATGACCCAAAGCCTTGGGACCCTGCATCCAGGTAGGAGACCCTGAAGAGGCTCCTGGCTTTGGATCAAGTCAGCTCTGGCTGTTGTGGGTGCTTAGGGAGTGAATCAACGAATGGAAGATCTTTCCCTTTGTATATTTGCTTTTCCAAAAAAAAAAAAAATTACATCTTTAACAACAACAACAACAATAATAATAATAGTGGGGAAGGGGAGGATTCATGCTAAGCATTAGGGCAGAATTCCTAAGATTATTATGTGACTTGATCAAATGGATTCTGCTCTAGGAAGAGATAGTTTTGGTTTTCTGTGAGAGTGAATGGATTTTGTGTGTATATATTCATTGTTCTACAGCCTTCCTGACAGAAGACCCCCTCTTTCTTTTTTATAATTTATTAATTACATTGCATTATGTGACATAGTTTCATAGGTACTCGAATTCCACCCACCGCTCCCCAAACTGTCCCCCCCCATGGTGGATCTCTGCACATTATTGCATTACGACAGGTCAAGTTCAGTTAAGATTCTTTCATTGCAAGCATATACCAAGCATAAAGTCCAGCATCTTATTATCCAGATAAGTTCAACGGCTTTTTGGGAGACCATCTCTGGTCTGAAGATAGGGCCGGCAAAGTATCATCTCAATCAATTAAAAGCCCCGACATTATATCAGTAACAATTTATAACATTATGGAATTAATTGACATGGTTGAGTAACCAATATGTCAAAAAAAATGCAAGGTCTGAACCACATCGTGTGACTTCTTCATTGACATTTCAATTATTAGTTTATATAGAACCAGATTCTATACACCTTAAAATTGCTATAGATTACTGTTCAGCTGTCTCATGTCTATTTTCATTATAGTATTTAGCAGTTTATAGCGCTGAAGCATAATTTTGCTGAACCTGGCTGTTTTTCAAATAGTCTAAACTAGCTTATAACTAACAAAACATATGTCAACAGTTTAGGTGTAGAACAGTTTTAGGAGGGGTGTGCAGAGAAATCTTCAGTACCCCAGTGAGGAGTAACTAATGTTTGTGTCTCACCTTGTTAAGTGTAAGTGCATCCCTGCTGACCATTTTCTGTCTGATTCTAAGCTTTCCTTGTTGTTCTCTATCTATTCCAGTATTTTTGTTTGTTTGTTTTGAGGGGTTTCTGGAGTGATCCTGATGGTCTTTGCAAGAGAAGGTGGGGACCCAAAGTTGGAGCCAAGCAAGGACCATAGAAAGCTCCCCTCTCTAATCCTGAAGGAAGCTTACTGTTCTTTTGTTTCTGCAGACTGCTCAGGGTTCCTGGTTGTCTTTCCGATATCCTTGGATCTTGTGAGGAAGGATTTGGACTTCTTGCAGCCCATATGGGAGATCCAGATGGGGATGGGTGACCTCAGAGTTCTCGGCCTCTGAAGGCACTCCAATTCCCCGTGTTCTCTTTGGCAGCTGGGATGTAGTCCTTGGTGTTCATACCGATAGTCCTTGGTGAGGATCTGGGAGTCTTCAGGGTTGGGATGCAAGCCTCCTCCTGTCCACCCGCTCCACTCTGGGGTCCCCCCCCCTGCTCTTTGCATATGACCTCCTGTTAAGAGGTTGTCAGGATCACTCTTGATTTCCCCCATATGCCTTTGCAGTTTTACTATTTTCTAATGCTGATTTGAATCTGTTGTCTATGAGACCAGTTATGATCCTAATAGGTTATTCTTCACATCTTCCTCACATATTCTAGGGAGATGGAAGATTTCTCTGCTCTCCCGCCCCATTATGGAATAACATAGGGTATTAAAAGTATATTAGGTTTTAAAATATTTTGATGTAGATCATAAGCAGTCTGACTCACATTGATTGTTGGTTCATTGGTTACTTCACAATATCTTATGGCATGTGAGATTGGCTGTTTGAGGTTGAGATAATATATTTTACAGGTACTATTTTTCATATTGACATCATTTCATCTTAAATTAAGGCAAACATGTGGTACCCAACCTTTTGGGATTGGCTCATTTCTCTTAGCATTATGGTTTCTAGTTGGGCCTATTTGGCCACAAAGAACTGCATTTTATTTTTTTTAATAGCTGAGTCGTATTCCTTGGAGTAAATGAACCATAGCTTTCTTATCCAGTCTTCTGCTGATGGGCATTTTGGTTGCTTCCATGTTTTTGCAATTACTGATTGTGCTGCTATGAACATAGGGGTGCATGTTGGCTTCTTGTGTAACAGGTGTTTTGGATATATTTCTAGGAGTGCTATTGCTGGATCATATGGTATGCAGATTTTGAGTTGTTTGAGTGTTCTCCATACTGATTTTCATAGAGGCTGTACCAACCTGCAGCCCCACCAGCAGTGGAGTAGGGTTCCCTTTTCCCCACATCCTCGCTAACAAGTGTTGTTGGTGTTTTTTTGTATGTGTTTGTTTGCCATTTGGGTATGTTCCTTTGTGAAATATCTTCCCATTTCCCATGCCCATTTCTTGAGTGGCTTGTTTGTTTTGGTGTTTTGGTTTTTTGGAGTTCTTTGTATATTCTGGAGATTAGCCCCCTATCACCTATGTAGTGCGCAAATATCTTCTCCCATTCTGTGGGTTGCTTTTTTACTTTTTTGGTTGTTTCCCTTGCTGTACAGAAGCTTCTTAGTTTGATGAAGTCCCATTTGTTTATCTTGGTCTTGATTGCTGTTGCTTTTGGTGGCTGAAAGATGTGGGTCTGTCTTCTTGTTTCTGCAGGCTATCAACCAGTTGTCCCAACAGCATTTTTTGAAGAGACCTTCCCATTTGCCTGGATTGTCTTTTTTTTTTTTTTTGGTCAAAGATTATTTGGCTGTATCTGTGTGGGTTTCCTTCTGTTGTTTCTATTCTGCTCCACTGATCTTCCTCTCTATCTTTGTGCCAGTACCAGGCTGTTTTGATAACCACTGCCCTATAGTATGCCCAGAGTTCCAGAACTGTAATTCCCCCTTCTAACTTCCTGTTCTTCAGGATGGTACTAGCTATTCATGTTTTTTTTGTGTTTCAGATGAACTTTTGAATCATTGTTTCCAGTTCCATAAGGAATGTTTTGGGCAATCTGATTGGGATTGAGTTGAATGTATATATTGCTTTTGGTAGTATGGACATTTTTTTTTAATTTGTAATTTTGTGTATTAGTTATATTTCATTTTATTTTTTTAAATTTATTTTATTAATTGCATTGCATTATGTGACACAGTGTTATGGGGACTGGGATTCCCCTCACCCCTCCCCGAACCCTAAAGTAGTATGGACATTTTAATGATATTGATTTTACCCATCCAGGAACATGACATATTTCTCCATCTTTTGAGGTCATTCTCCATTCCTTTTTTAAGTGTTTTGTAATTTTCTTCATAGAGGTCTCTTATATTTTTGGTTAGATTTATTCCTAGATACTTCATACTTTGTCTGTAATTTTGAATGGTACCTTGCTAGTTAGATCTTTTTCCATCTTGGGGTGTTTGCATACTTATGGCTGTTCATTTTTGTTCATTTATTTTGTACCCTGCCACTTTACCAAACTCTCGTATAAGTTCTAACAGTCTCTGTATTGAGTCTCTTGGATCTTCTATGTAAAGGATCATGTCATCTGCGTATAGTGAGAGCTGGACTTCTTTATTTCCCATATGGATTCCTTTGATTTCTTTTTCTTATCTTATGGTGTCAGTGAGGACCTCTAGGACTATGTTGAATAGCAGTGGAGATAGTGAACATCCTTGACTTGCTCCAGATCTCAGTGGGAATGGTTCCAGTTTTTCTCCATTCAGTATGATGCTGGTGTTGCATTTTTCATATATTGCTTTGATTATGTTAGGGTTTTTAGCATGAAGTGGTGTTGGATTTTGTCGAAAGCTTTTTCTGCATCTATTGATACTATCATGTGATTCTTGTTTTTCAGTTTTTGGATGTAGTGTATTACATTTATGGATTTCCAAATGTTGAACCATCCCTGCGTTCCAGGGATGAATCTTACTTGATCCGGATGAATGATTTGCCTGATTTTTTTTTTTTTAATTCTATTGGCTAGGATTTTGTTGAGAATCTTAGCATCAATGTTCATCAGAGAGATAGGTCTGTAGTTTTCCTTCTCTGATGGTTCTCTATCTGGTTTTGGGATTAAGGTGATGTGGTTTCATAGAATGAGCTTGCAAAGGTTGCTTCCTTTTCTATTGTTTTGAAGAGTTTGTGGAGGATTGGGGTTAGTTCTGTTCGGAATGTTTTGTAGAATTCTGTAGTGAAGCCGTATGGGCCTGGGCTTTTCTTTGTTGGGAGATCTTTAATCACTGATTCAATCTCTGCTTTGGTTATATGTTTGTTCAGGTCTTTGGGTGCCTCTGGGCTAAGATTTAGTAGGTGGTGGGAATCTAAGAACTTTTCCATTTCTTGATGGTCTTCTGATTTGTTGGAATACAATTTTTTGTAGTAATTTCTAATTATTATCTTACTGATTGCAGTGTCTCTTGTTATGTTGCCGTTTTCATCTTTAATGCTGTTAATTCTCGCTTTCTCTTGTTTTTTCTTTGTCAATCGGGTCAGTGGGGTGTCTATTTTGTTTATCTTCTCAAAAACCCTGCTTTTTGGTTTGTTGATTTTGTGTACAGATTTTTTTTATTTCTGTTTGGTTTATCTCCTCCTTTGTTTTGATGATTTCTTGTTTCCTATTGTGTGTGGGACCCTTCTGCTGCTGCTTTTCCAATTTCTGGAGGTGTGTGCTTAATTCCTGTATTTGGTGCCTTTCTTGGACCTTGACATGAGCTCCAATTGCAATGAACTTATCCCGTTGCACTGCTCTGATGGTGTCCCACAAGCTTTGGAATGTTGTATTCAAGTTTTCATTGGTTTCCATAAATTTTTTGATCTCATCTTTAATTTCTTCCCTGACCCATTGTTCGTTTAATAGCATATTGTTCAACCTCCAAGAGTTTCTATATTTCCTGGGGCATTTTGAATTGTTTATTTCCAGTTTCATTCCATGGTGGTCTGAGAGAGTACGTGGTATGATTCCAGCTGTTTAATGAGCTGGGTACCTTCATTCTGCGTGTCTTTAGTTTCAGAGATCCTCTCTTCTGCTGTATTTATTCTTTTGGTTAGACTCTCAACTTTGTGCTCTAAGTCAAGGATTTTGCTTTTGACTTGTATTGCTGTGACTATGTGGTTCTTGAATTCCTTGCAGTCTTCGCAGTCTTCCCAGTCTTCTTATTGTCTCTGACAAATTTTATCACTATTTTTTAAAATTCCTTGTCTGGTAGAACTTCAATGTCTTCATCTCACAACTCTGAAATAGATGTTGGCTTTTGGTCTTTTTTTGGTGGGGTGCTGCCTCTTTCGTCTAGATCATTACTTTTTCTGATACCTCTTCCCATTGTGTTATTGTTTCTTGTTGATTTGGGGAATTTATTCTGATTTGTTTATCCACAGTGCAGTATTGTGGAGTAGGTGTGAATCTACTACTGTTATTTTGTTTGCATACAAAAGAGAATTTCTCTGAGTTCCACTGAGGACGTTTGGCGAGGGTAGGGTAGATTTGTTAACCCCTGGATGTATATAACCCTCTGTAGCTGGGTTTCTTTAAGGTCTGTTGGCTATGGTGTCATCCCGTGTGCATCTTCAGGGGTAGGGCATAGTAGCAGCACTTTGTAGCTTCATGACTCTGTGTCTAATCTGGGCAGATTTGGAAGGACCCCAGCGCCCCTCAGGCCTGTGGGGGAGTATGTATCAATTGCCAGGGGCTCTAGCTATGGGCATCGGGACCACTGCCCATTAAGGCCTCTGCCCCCACCCCCAATACTGTTTTTCTCTACATCCTCTGTTGGAAATTCTTTTCCCTGGTGCCCCCACCATTGTGATAGATTAAGGCGCACTCCACCCAGCCCCTCTGATTGCCAGGGCACTGGGCACCCACACGTTGTGTATGCTGGTGTCACCAAGGCATTCCTAGCAGGGTCCAACTGTCCCGTAGAAAACACCCTCTTTGGAGAGCTAACGATTCTACACGGCTGATTAGCATGTGGAATTATGCTATTGATATCTAAATCTCAAACGTCTATACTGTTGTGCTTCTTTTTTTTTTGGCATTTCTTTTGTTGATTAGATAGACATATACTTTTATTGCATAAATATTTATCAAAACCTAAATCCCCTGGAGATTACATAGGGCCTTAGTTGAACAAATATTATAGCTCTATACAACCCCAGCATAAGGGCTGCTTTCATTGAATAGTGCTTCCATGTGTTCAGACATCTGTAACAGGAACAGAGAGGCTCAGCAACAGAAGTGTGTTTCCTGCAGCCCTGAGGTTGGACAGTCTAAGATCGAAGCACTCGCAGATTCCTTGACAGTGAGGGCTCATCTTCTGGCCCGCAGCTGTCCTTCCCCATAGTTCACTTGATAGAAGAGCAAGGGAAGTTTCTGGGCTTTTTTTCCTAAAGGCACTCATCCTGCTCCCGAGAGGAGCCCTGACACCTCCTCTGCAAAGATTCATCTCCAAACACTGCCATGCTGAATGTTGGGATTTAATGTCTAAATATTTGATGAGGAAGTGGAAACAGTCTACAGCAGTTAATTTGTGTCTTTTTAAGGTATTTTAAATACTTAATGGGTTCCTTGTGGTGACTGGTTTTAGACATTGTTGTATCTGGAATAGTTTACCATGTGTAAAGTTTGCACTATACTCCGTTTCTAAGGAACTCCTATCTTTACTCACTCTTTATAGTTAGGTATGTTGTCTTTGCTTTTGAGTTTGTCATCTACTGTTTTCTCTTCACTGTGAAGTTAAGTTTTCCTCATTGTATCTGAGTGTTTGGATACCATGACTTCTGTTATCCAATGCTTCTTTATATTGTCGGATGAGCGAGGGCCTTTCCCCCTCTCTGTTTTTACCAGCATCTAAGGAAATGGCTTCTGGTTTTTGGAAACATCATCACCGCAGGCTGCTTCATCCTCTTAGGCCCTGCCCCAGTCCTGCAGATTAAAAGGTAATTGTTTTCTTCTCTGTTTTTTTCTTCTTCCTCAGTCTTTGAGGAGGAGGAGCTAAATCATGTTATGTTTCTGTAACCCCCTTAGAGCTTGCAGTAGCTGCACATTGCAGCCTGCTTCATGTCATTTATTAGCTCAAATAAAACGACCTCTCAGATCTTCCCCAGTTCTCTCTGATAAGGCACACTGTGGAAAGAGAGACATTTCAGAGTCCTGCTGATGTAGATCTGAATTTTGGCTCTGCTATTTGCTGGTGATGTGAACTTGGGCAAATCAGGTAACGTCCGTGAACACAATGTCGAATGTGGAAGGCACCTTAGTTACTTGTCTATTCCCATACTCTGCCCTATTCCACACCATTTTGTGCTGCATTGAATTTCAAAGCAAAATAACCAAATAAACAACGCTCATGTTGACCTTTTCACAATTTTTCAATGAATTTTATATGATGAGAAGAAGGCGAGTTGGCTCTACACATGGGATACATGAGAACCATGGTGTAGATGTCAAGATGAAGCGTTTTTCCTCCCCCAAAAGTGAAGGGTAAATTACTGAATGAAGTGGGATCAGATGTGACTCTAACTTTTGTGACACTCATTTTCCTGAGGTGTTGACGTCCTTAGCATTAAGTTTCTTGTTTCTTAAAATACTGACTTTTTTTTAATCCCCCAAATTGTCTTGCAGCCAGCTCTGGTTGCTGGTCCTGGTGTTGGTGGTGAATGGCATTTCTGCTGGCATGAGTATTATTCCAACTTTCCCGGAGATTCTTAGTTGTGCCCAGTAAGTTACTTCCATTGTTTGAAGCATTATACTAGGAATAGCAATGAACACCACAGGCTTTCTTGAATTCCTTGGTTTTGTAGGATGTTGAATATTTTTCTCCCCAATATTGGATCTAATGGTATTATAACACACAGTATGGTAATATAAATAATAATAACAACAACAATAATAATAATAATATAGTGATAAAATAATAACACAGGGCAGTATTAATAGATTAATAGATGAAAACGGTGAGGGTGGATGTTTGACTTTGGTTTCTGCTTCAGTCGATGGGTGATTTTGAAAAGCTAAAATGAAACAAAATTGTTTCAGCCTTATTCCTGTCTTACGCATGGGGTCTTACATGAACGAGGGATGACCAGCCTCTGTCATTTGCCCATCGTTCTCTTGTTCAATGGATGTGATGGTGAATGACCAGAAAATTATGACCCTGCTGGTTCAATTCAGCAATTCTCATTGAACCTGTAGTGAACATTTTCAGATTTCTGAATTTATGTTTTAACTTTAGGAAAAAGGAGAAGCCTGTGTTTTCTCAAAATTCTGCATGGTTCTGATCTTCATCTCAAAATTATGGGTCATGATTTTGTTTTGAACTTTTAATTATTTTTTATGATATAGTTTTGTAGGTGTAGAAATTCCTTCTTTCCTTCACCTTTCTTCCTTTCCATGTCCCCTCCCATCATTTCCCCCGTATTAATACAGTACTTTAGTCCTTTAGTAACAGTTGCAAGTTTACATTTTCATGCATCATGGCATTGTAGGAATAGACAAGGGTAGAAAATCCAGTGCCATACTTGTCATATGCATCTCTACTCCCGAATAAAAGGAGTTTTCCCAATCAATACACCTTGACAATGTGATAGTAATTTTTTTAACCGTTGCTTATATAGGCAATGCCATGTTACACTTAAATAGCAGAGATTTGTACATGTGACTGTTGCTGAAGGACTATTCTATTGTAATAACATGGGGGGAAATGGTGGGGGGAGAAATGGAGAGGGAGGAAGTGGAAATGGAGGGGAAAATCGCTATAGCTACAAAACAGTATCATGGAAAATAGTAATAACACTATGAAAAGAAAATCTAGTCCCATTTTATTGAGCGAGGATTTTTAATGTATCTTATATGATAAGGTTTTCAAAAGTTCATCGAAGGTGTTTATTATAAAAAAAGCTGAATTTGGACTTTAAAAAGTTTTGTAACCAACTTAGATTTTAATTCCAGTTCCATATGAACTTTTCTATGTGTCCTCATGTATGTAGTAGAATCAATTTTGAAAAGCTGTGGAGAAAAACCTAGCTTTGAACATTTCTTTGAATTAAGTAGCTTTTATCTTAAAAGTGGAATATCTTGCCACATTGTTCCTGGTTTACCTTAATTTATCTGTTACACAATTTTTTCTTCATGAGGGTTTTCCTTTTAATAATGGATACAATCATGTCTCTCTTTGCAGTGAAAATGGATTTGAACAGGGATTAAGCACACTAGGACTTGTATCTGGTTTCTTCGGTGCAGCGTGGTCACTTGGGTGAGTAGGCATTCCACTGAGTTTCATTCATATGTGCAAGATGCAAAATACCATCCCCATCCTGCAGGGGACTAAACTACTGAGAGGGTAGATGAGACAGGACTTTCGCAAAGACCAATTAGTTCTTCCTGAGTACAAGCATAGTTCTCTTATTTTTAAATTTATTTGAGAGGCAGAATGAGATATAGATGAAGAAAGAGAGCTCTCATCCTCTGGTTCCCTCTCAAAATGCCCACCATGGCCGCAATAGCCAGGACTGGCCTGGACTGGGCCAGGACTTCAATCCAGTTATGGGAGGAGCCTGTCGAGTTTATCCATCATGTGCTGCTTCCCAGGCTGTGCACTGGCAGGAAGCTGGGGTTGGGAACCGGAGCCAGGTATGGAACCCAGGTACTCTGGCATGGACATAAGTGTTTTAACCTGAATCTTAACTGCCAGTCTGAATGGAGTTCTGATCCAGACCCTCTAACGTCAAAATCAAGCACTGAATCTCATCCAAATCATCTCACATACCTTTCTTATTTAAGTGATATCTGTAGTTGACTTTAGCAGAAACATGTCTCATTTTAAAGATGCATTCATTCATTTTTAACCTACTATTATACAAGAATAACTGTGTGCTAGCAATACAGTATTCAGTCCTTAGGTATGCATCAGACTGAGTATGTTACAGACAGATACTGACTGCAGAAGAGTGTAAAGAGCCTTCTGGACATGTGTCATCTTTCTTTGCTTTGATATAAGCTGTCAACCTATCAGCAGCTGTTATAACCTTAGAATTGTTTATAAATTTTGAACTTCATTATCAGGTAGAATTCGTTTTTCTTATATTCATGATATACCCAGGAATTTCTTCCTTTAATTTTATAGTTCTAATTAAAGGAAGATCTATTATTGAGGAATCACACAGTTTTTAGAAAGCAATCACAATTTGGTATTATGAAACACTCTTTCTTCTTTCCACTGTCAGTGCTTTTATCGGACCAACAGTTGGTGGATTTCTATATGAGAAAATTGGTTTTGAATGGGCAGCAGCAATACAAGGCCTGTGGGCCCTGATATGTGTGAGTATCTGGTCTTCTGCTTTCATGTGCGTTGTATTTGTGGAGAAATGTGACTTGGACATGTCACATTAACCAGTGTCTTTACTTGTGTTGAAGGGATTGGCCATGGGCTTGTTTTATCTGCTGGAGTACTCAAGGAGAAGAAGGTATGGTCGGCTTATGAGCTTTCCTGTTTTTTAATAGTTAGCTTACAGCAGTGGAACAGAAATACCCATTTTTGAAAAGATTTTATTGATTGATGGATTGATTGATTGATGGATGGATTGATTTAAGGTTGGCAGCTGGGGAGAGGGAGAAAGCGATATCAACCTCCCATCCACTGGTTACTCCCCAGGTTCTTCCTGGTGTCCTATGTGGACAGCAGGGAGCCTAGTACCTGTTTCCCAGGCCTTTGGCACAGGGCTAAATCGGAAGTGGAGCTGCTGGTATTCAAAGCAGTGCTTACATGAAATGCTGCCTTGCAGGTGATAGATTTGCCTGACACACCACAACACCATAGTGTGGAATTCCACATGGAATACCATTTTACATCCATTCTTTTTTTTTTATCATATTGTGGAATACCACATGAATACCATCTTACATTCATTCCTTTATCAGGGAACTCAGGCTGTTTGTTTGGCAGATGTTTCAAGGAGACAGCCGGAAAGAGATGCTGGGCTTGTTTTTGTTCTGTGTTGTCATTGAAAATAAGAAATACTAACATTTTCCTTTTCTTTTCCTTAACATAGATCTATACTCCAAAACATCCAGGGTACAGAGTGGGAACGGACTGCTCTGCTGCCCGAGGAAATCCGCCCTTGCACTGTTCTGGAGTGATGCAGGAGTGGGAGATCCCCTGGCCTTGAACCTGAAGCCAGCCTAGAACCTGGCTGCTGAGAGAGGGATTCTCCTGGCCTTGAACCTGGCTGCTGAGAGAGGGATTCTCCTGGCCTTGAACCTGGCTGCTGAAAGTTTTCCTACTATTTTTGTGTCTGCACAGACTCCACGGATCTCATGCCAGCAGTCCAGAAATGCTAGTGTGCTTTGATGATCCCATGTTCGGCTCCATGACTGTTGTCTTGAAAAGCTGGCCTGCTGGCAGGCGCATTTGAAATCTTAAGGACGAGCGTGATAGTTGGAAAATCAGGCAAAGTTTGCCTTTTCTGAGTAACCACACTTAGGCTTGACTATTTTACTCATCCCGTTGCATTTCCTTGCTTTTTATTCTAAGTGCTGATTCTGAACATGTTTTTTTTTTTAATGACCAACAACTGAAATGAATTGATACACTCGAAATACACAGGCAACTTCACATTTATTTTTGAGAAATGAAATTAAAAGCTTTTTGGTACCAACAAATTTTGAAATCCATGCATGCTTTTTTTCATAACACACAGTTTTTAAAATAAGACCTCTCTCCTATGCATAGATTTCAAACATATTTTAGCTTAAAATAAAGGTATCTTTTAATCTCATATCCCTGAAATTTTTTAAGTCACCTCCTAAAAAGACACTTCAAAATAAAAAGAGCAATTACTACAAGATTGGAAAGATGCTTTCTTTGGGTCCTGAGATTATTTTTTAATTTATCCAAAAGGAAAAATTTCCACTTCTGTAGCATTTTTTAACCCTTTTTTTGGAGATTTATTTGTATATTTATTTGAAAGGCAGATTGACCCAGAGAGAGAGTTAGAGCTTTCATCTATTGGTTCACACCCCAAATGGCCGCAATGTCCAGGGCTAAGTCGGCCTGAAGCCACTTCATCCAATCTCCTGTGTCGGTGCTGGAACCAAAGTGCTTGGAACATCTTCTGGTACTTTCTCAGGCCCATTTGCATGGAGCTGGATGGAAAGTGGAGTAGTGGGACTCCAACTAATGTTTACATGGGGTGCTGGCACTGCAGAGTGCGGCCTAATACACTGCCACAGCACAGCTCCCTTCTATGGCATTTCTTGACCTTCAGTTTGCCTAAAACATTTTGTGCAAAAGGCGCAAGAATAACAGCACTTAGGCTTTTTGTTCCGTGGGCATGTTTTTGAAGAAGTGCGCCCACTCCTTGGCATAACTGTTGGTTTTTGTTAGAGTCTCTTTCAGCTGTACCATTTGGTTTTGCTTCCATCCTCCAAGTGGATGATTTCCACACCTGGAGTGGGTCGCCCCTGTGCCCAGCAGCCACCCGGGTGTGGTATATGTTAGGGACACGTTTCCTCCAGCTTTACTGAAAAACTGACACAGTGAACGAGTGTCACTGGCACAGTTCTCATACCTCCAAGAGCTTTTTCATCATCTAGTGGCTAAGTTCATCTTCAGTTTTTTAAGAAATATTTTTACCCTTTCATTCAAGACTGGAATTAAGTTTATTCCTAGAGCTCCCATTTGCTGGCTTACTTCCCCCAGTACCTGCTGTGTTTGGGACTGGCCCAGCTAGAGCTGGAAACTCAGGTCTCTCATGTGGGTGGCAGGGAAGCAAGTGCTTAAGCCATCACCCGCTGCTTCCCAGGCTCAGGATTGCAGCTGGGGGTTGAACCCAAGCACTCTGATATGGGAAGCAGGCATCCCAACTTGTACTTTCACCTCTGTGCCAAATGACCATGTGCCCTAAACTGTCTTTACATGCTTCCTGTGGACTGACACCATGCTAGGTGCCAAGCTTTTGTGTCCACGTAAATCTAATCTCTGTATTTATGTAATGGATACCAGCAGAAAGGACAAGCCATAAATAAGCACCATGATGAACAGAAATGCCATGCAGGAAGAATCTTGGAATAGCCGGCTGCAGTTGACTAGGGACGACAAGACTTTCTGGGAAGGGGCTTCTGAATTGTCAAGGAGGCCAGAGATGTGGTGATTAGCTGTTACTGAAGGACTTAGGGAGTATGAGGAATTAGGAGATGGGGGAGGAAGCAGGATCTGGCTTTAAAAAGACTGGATCAACGGCAGGTACACATTTCAGGAAGTTCACCACAGAACCCATGGGGCCAAGGAGTAGGGAAGTGGATTGGCAGGGATGGGAACCAGGAGGAATTTGGGATTGAGGAAACACAGGTGGTTTGGAGCAGAGGTTGCAGCAGGAACTTGCAAAGCTGTGCAGACCTATTCTGGGGGGAGCAATTCCTTCTCACTAACTCCTGCCTCAGCATGCAGAAGGTGGTGCCATGCTGAGGCACATGTATGGCCTTGCTGCCCTTCCTGGGACCTAACCTGGACAGAATGGGACCCGGGCAGGCTGCTCCAGGGTGGTGTGCAGAGCAGGGGCACTGTCTGATAGCCCCGGCTAACGCCTCTGGGATTCTTCTATCGCTTTTCTTCTCTCTGGGAGCCTTTTGACAAGGGGCATTCAGGTCTCCCACCCAGGCAGCTGTGACCCAGATTGAGAGCCTGAAGTTCAGGCTTTGGCCACACGGGAATGGTGTTGGGGCATAGAGCCTTGCATGTGGGTGTAGTTCTGGATTTTCCTATTCCAATTACCAGTGCAGTTCAAGGTCAAGGCGAAGACTCCCAGCCTTTCTGGAGAGAGAACTTTGCTGTCAATTGCAACACGCTGCATATCTCGCCAACCAGTGTATTTAACCTTTGTATGATACCAACTTTGCCCCTTCCTTAGTTTATGATCTTGCAGGTACTAAGAAAAATGACAACAGAAGTTTAAAAAATGAGGAAGTGTACCAGAAAAAAAATTTGAACAATGGAACCAGTAGGTAGATCAAAACTATCAAAGGAAATTTCTGTGTATTTATATTTCTATTCTTGTAAATACAGCAGAGGTCTCTAGCTGTAATTTTTTTAAAAAAATAGCAATACTTTATGTGTCTAAATGTAGAATGTATTTGTAATAAATAGGTAAAAGGTGTTTTCATGTCAACAGCACACCATTTGCATGAATAATATGCATAAGTGTAAAGAAAAAATGAAAAAGATGAATGCAAAACACAAACAATTTTTTGAAGTTAGATTTTAACACAGGTGTAATTGCTGAGTTCCATGCATTGGCAAGAAATGCAATCTGGAGACCGTGTGCACACTTTCTCAATTGTCCTGGATCATCACCTCCTGTAATACTACGTGGTACAATGTGTGACAGTCCATCACCTCAGGCTGTCCTTCTATTGCCCTTCCTGCAGCTGTGTTTCTGTCACCTCTACCTTTGGAAACTACTAATCTGCTCTCCATTTTTATAGTTATTTTAGGAATTGTTGCTCCTACACTTGATGAGAAATGATGACATGTTTTTTCTTGCTTGAGATCCTGCAGATTGGTGTGTGTTCCTGTAGTTTATTTCCTTAGAGTGCTGAGAACTATCCCGTGATACAGATGTGTAACATCTTCCTCATTTCTGGATGACACGTAGGTTGCTTTCATCTCAGGGATAATATAAATAAAACTGCTGTGAATATGCACGAACATCATTTTGTGGAAACCTAAGTATTCATTTTCACAGGATGAGTGTTGAGGAATACAGTTACTGGGATGTATGGTAATTGCATCATCAGCTTGCTTTTCTTTCAAACGTACTATTGTATCAAGGATAGGAAACCTGATATTGATGCAAAACTGTTCTCTGCCCTGCAGTGAGGGGACTTGGTGCAACTAATCATACAAAAGGACTACTGACTGATGGTGAATAGCCAAACTGATGAACAGCGTAAATCTTTTAAACCTGAGGGTCACGCAGGTGTAAGGAGAGAGGGTTTGCAACAGACTGTGACTTCTGTGTGTACACGTGCAAGGGAGGTCAGTCAGCGAACAGCTTACTAACACACAGCAAACACATGAAAGAATCAGGAAAAACACGGCTCTGAGGCTTGAGGATCAGGGAGTTCCTGCATCTGTGCTTTCCCCTCCAAATGCTTCAGCTGGTTAAGGTTTCACACCAGGCATGGCTCCCCATTGTTCTCTCCTGTTGGAGGGTCTTCCTACCAGGAAGTTCCTCCTCCCAGGCTTCTGGGTTCCAACTGCTCAGGGCCTTTACTGAATTCCGGAGCTTTCTCAAAGGTTACAGTTAGTTACTATGGTTTTACACTGATGAGGTTCAGCATAATCCTACGCAAAGATACATTCATTAAATCTTTTTCTTTTTAAGGATTTATTTTATGTTTTGGTTCAATAGGCAGAGTCACAGAGAGAGAGAGAACATCTTCCATCTTTTGGTTCAGTCCCCAGCAATTGGGACTGGACCAGCCTAAGCCAAGAGCCAGATGTGGATCTCCTATGTGGGTGGTAGGGGGTCTAAGCACTTGGACCATCCTGTGCTGCTTTCCTAGGTATATTAGGAGGAAGATGGATCAGAAATGGAGCAGCCAGGACTTGAACCACTGTTCATATGGGATGCTGACACTGGAGACAGCAGCTTAACTTGCTATGCCACAGCAATAGCCCTAATTAAATAGTCCCCCATTTACTTGTTTATTAAATGATGAAGATTTAAATATGCACAAATTCCCTTTTTAAAATAATTGACAAGGGCCTGACCCTGATGCCTCGTGGCTAAAGTCCTTTCCTTGAAATGCCGAGATCCCATATGGGTGCCGGTTCTAACCCCGGCATCTCCACTTCCCATCCAGCTCTCTGCTTGTGGCCTGGGAAGGCAGTTGAGCACGGCCCAAAGCCCTGGGACCCTGCACCCACATGGGAGACCTGGAGGAAGTTGCTGGCTCCTAACTCCGGATTGGCACAGCACCAGCTGTTGTGGTCACTTGGGGAGTGAGTCATTGGATGGAAGATCTTCCTCTCTGTCTCTCCTCCCCTCTGTATATCTGACTTTGTAATGAAAATAAAGTTATCTGAAAAAAAAAATTGATGAAATGGATTTAAAGGAAGTTTTATTTATTAGAGAGACACAGAGAGGTAAGGAGAGTCTCCGCAGATGCCCCAAACAGCTCTGGCTGGCTGGGTTATGTCAAAGCTGAGAGCTGCAAACACCATCCTGGTCTTCCAAGTGTGTGATAAGCACTCCATTACTTGAGCCATCACTGCAGCCTCCCAGTAGGAATTGAACCCAGGCACTCTAGGATAGAAAGTAGACATCTTAACCACTATGCTAAATGTTGCTTTCCAACTATTTTTTATTAGCTTAAAGTTAGTAGATGAGAAACAAAGAGGCAAATATCTCCATGTGCGATCACATTTAAAGGGCAAGATCCAAAGGCCAGTCTCGTGAGAGTCACCTTCCATTCATTGTCATGCCATTTTATGAAATCAGTAAGGCTGAGAAATCATTACTTAGACAAAAAAAAAAAATGGTTTAACCTATTAAAAACTCTACAGAAGGGCCCGGCAGCGTCGCCAA